GATGATGATGATGATGATGATGATGATGATGACGACGATGATGATGATGATACTAGCGCTTGATGTATATAGCCAGTACCATGTTGTTCTCCGAGGTTAAGATGGGTCTTGTCAGCGTCACACTAACTCACTCCCAAACGACCAGACAACACGAGGCAACACGACGAAGACAAAGGAAGGACTCAGCCACCCTTCGACGCCTGCTGCAGGGACTAACTCACCCACAACCTCATATTTTAGACCAGGTCCTATCATTCACGGCCGGTCATACTGAATCTCAGTTCTAATAAGCCCCAGTTCTAGTAGGCCCCCAGCTCTAACAGGACCCAGTACAAATATAACCTTTGTCAAATTTAACCACAAGTACTAAGGAGCCTGAACCACCCTTAATGGTGTGTGTGTGTGTGTGTGTGTGTGTGTGTGTGTGTGTGTGTGTGTGTGTGTGTGTGTGTGTGTGTGTGTTACTCCCCCACAAAAAACACTAATATATCTCCCCTTCAGGTAAATATTTCAGGGCAGTAGGTCAGTGTCAGGACGTGAGTAAAGGCGTGGGGGCAATTTATTGTGTTTGTGGTTAATTATTACGAAAGTTCCAGTTTAGTTGTGTGACAGATGTTGGCACGATGGTCAGACCCCTAATTACTGCCCTACAACAGTGTGTGTGTGTGTGTGTGTGTCTGTGTGTGTGTCCACAAGTGAGTGGACCCGGGTTCGATCCCCGGGCAGTAATTGGGAACCTGGATGTTAATCTATTTGTGGATCGTGTTCCTGGGTAATGGTTAGCCAATGCAGTTGACGAGTTGTCCGGTCTTCTCGGGCTATTCCTTGACACTGGGTCATGAGCTCGCTCACTTAGGGTGCGGTTGTTGTGTTGGTGACAGCTTCTACACCTTAAACAAATTCACGCCTAGGTGGCCCTTGGGCCGGCCATCCTCGTTACACGAGGGGCAACCATTATGTAAGTATGTATGTATGTATAACAGGTTGGTATTACCGCCTGGGAAGATATTGAAAGCATAATGTGTTGTCTAATGGTAGACCCTGCTGCCATATGTGAACAAGTCCCAGGTTGCTGATCTGACTTTCTGCCTCATTTACACACAATTGCAGATCTCAATTGTTTCTCTTACTATTGACAACACAACATACATAATGTATGTCATTTCTCACTCTTGCTGTATTTTTTCAGTTCTGTATTTATTTATGGTTATTATTATCATTATTATTATTATTATTATTATTATTATTATTATTATTATTATTATTATTACTTTCTTTTTATTTGTATATATTTTTAGTAATTATTGTTAATTATTATTATTATTATAATTGTATTTTCGCCCCCTAAGCCCTGATGTGGGTCAGTGACCTGTGCTCGGGTGGGCTAATCCCAGTTTAAAATAAATAAATGTATGTATGTATGTATGTATGTATGTATGTATGTATGTATGTATGTATGTATGTATGTGTGTATGTATGTATGTATGTATGTATGTATGTATGTATGTATGTATGTATGTATGTATGTATGTATGTATGTGTGTGTGTATGTATGTAGGTATGTATGAATGTATGTATGTTACGGTTTCTTGTGAAATTGTTATTTTGCCAAAAAAATGCAAAAAGGCTAACCTAACCTTATTCAACGGTCAGGCCTGTTTGTAAGTTATTTTTCAAAATTACCAACATGCTTGACAGTCATTTTGAAAAATAACCGATTTAAAAAAAAAGTAGCACACACACACACACACACACACACATACATACATACATACATACATACACTCTATACATATAAGCTTTTCACATGACGCGTGAGAGCAGTAACAACACACACTTTAATGAGTGAGACAGACACACACTCAACATCATTACACAGTAACTACACGCCCCGCCCGCTGGTCATCACCACAAGTCGTGCAAATTACGCACAACGCAAATACATCAGTGATGCAATTTGCAGTTTTATGACTCCAGCATATTTTTTAATGTTCCTTTATTGAACATCATCAGTGACCTACACCAGCTACCACTAACACCAGTACCAGTAACACCGGCTACCACTAACACCAGCTACCACTAACACCGGCTACCACTAACACCAGCTACCACTAACACCAACTACCACTAACACCAGCTACACTAACACCAGCTACCACTAACCCTACCACTAACACCAGTACCAGTAACACCGGCTACCACTAACACCAGCTACCACTAACACCGGCTACCACTAACACCAGCTACCACTAACACCAGTATAGTAACACCGGCTACCACTAACACCAGTACCAGTAACACCGGCTACCACTAACACCAGTACCAGTAACACCAGTACCACTAGCACCAGTACCACTAACACCGCTACCACTAATACCAGCTACCACCAACACCGGTACCAGCACCGGCTACCATAGCACCAGCTACCACTAACACCGGCCATACTTCCGGTACCACTAACACCAGCTACCACTAATACCAGCTACCATAACACCAACTACCACTAACACCAGTACCAGTAACACCGGCTACCACTAACACCAGCTACCACTAACACCAGTACCACTAGCACCAGTACCACCAACACCAGCTACCACCTAATACCAGCTACTAACACCAGTACCAGTAACACCAGCTACCACTAACACCGCTACCACTAACACCAGCTACCACTAACACAACTACCCACTAACACCAGCTACCACTAACACCAGCTACCACTAACACCAACTACCACTAACACCAGCTACCACTAACACCGGTACCAGTAACACAGCTACCACTAACACCAGCTACCACCTAACACCAGCTACCACTAACACCAACTACCACTAACACCAGCTACCACTAAAACCAGCTACCACTAACACCAACTACCACTAACACCAGCTACCACTAACACCAGCTACCACTAACACCAGCTACCACTAACACCAGCTACCACTAACACCAGCTACCACTAACACCAACTACCACTAACACCAGCTACCACTAACACCAACTACCACTAACACCAACTACCACTAACACCAACTACCACTAACACCAGCTACCACTAACACCAGCTACCACTAACACCAACTACCACTAACACCCTTTACCACACTAACACCAGCTACCATTAACACCAGCTACCACTAACACCAGCTACCACTCACACCAACTACCACTAACACCAGCTACCACCACTAACACCAGCTGCCACTCACACCAACTACCACTAACACCAGCTACCACTAACACCAGTACCACTAGCACCAGTACCACTAACACCAGCTACCACTAATACCAGCTATCACTAACGCCAGCTACCACTAACACCACCACCACTAACACCAGCTACCACTAACACCAACTTACCACTAACACCAGCTACCACTAACACCAGCTACCACCCCAACACCAGCTACCACTAACACCAGCTACCACTAACACCAGCTACCACTCACACCAACTACCACTAACACCAGCTACCACTAACACCAGCTGCCACTCACACCAACTACCACTAACACCAACTACCACTAACACCAGCTACCACTAACACCACACTGGAGTGATACAATGAGCACCTTTGTCATCTTGTTGTCAGTAGGTTTAGCAGGGAGCGTCTGGATGGCTGGCTGTACAGGTGTCATCAAGCCATAGGAACACAAACATCACAGATAATTATCATATGACAGAATAACATCAAGTAATTGTGCTAAATATTACAAAAGATTGTATATAAACACACAAATGTTTAGTGTTTAAAGCCACAACAGTTTTACAAGCTTTTAAAATCCACGTTATGTTGTATGTTGTACGGAGTGACTTGGTGAATGTGCTCGTAGATTTTAGTTATTGAGCAACAGGACTTCATTATATTACTGACCACCTGTTTACCTTGTTACCGTCACAACACCATCACCTGAGAGTGAGTCCCAGGTAACTTCCTCCCCTACACATATATACACATCGTCGTCAACACCAGAATCATATGCTATAGAACTTAAAGTTAAACCAACAGCTGTGGCAGGAAAGGGTAGTACAAGTTTTTCCACTAGGGACAGTTTGTTGAGGATTAAGTGTGGGAAGTAACGTTCATTTTACCTTGGTGGAGCAGCGACGGTGAGTCAACAGGTGAGAGCGTAGTGTGTGTATGGAAACTACCTAAACGACTCCTGAAATGTGGTTCAGAGTCGACACTGACACCGACAGATCTTGACTTGTTCTGTACGTGTTTCCTCGTTGTCATGTGAGTGTTTTTATTATTTTCTAAAGAAATTATTGATGTGTTTTAAAATGTGTGAATAAATTAAGTGTAGTATGAAGGTGTCTAGTGGCCGGAAGATGCAAAGAAATGTTGATCTTCATAAAATATAAGAAAATTTGTGTAAAAAACGAATTTTATAAAGGTAAAATTCTTGTAAAATTGACCCATAAAAAGCGAAATCTCAGCTTGGATGAGAAGACGGAACCTTACGACAACAAGTGGCAAATATATTGTTTATAATGGGAACAAAACTGATAATGTATTAGCTGGTGTCACATGATCACCGCAAACAGTGAGCACAGACCATGTAAAAAAACAGTCTCCACACCTCGCGTTACCTGGTCACCTGTAAACAAGAGGACGAGTAACGTCATCTGTTTATTTACAAATCCTTTACTGGGAAAAAAAATTACAGTTGTTCACAATGGTAGCTGAAGAGGCCTTGACAGTACCTGTGTTTACCTGCCCTGGTGAGTCTTCAACATTCCTGATATTTTCGAATGTATATAAAAAAAACCTTACCTGAGACACTATTTCCAGGCTGTAATTCCTTGTCGTCAAATTTTATCAAGACACAATCAACGTTAATGAAATGAATGAAGAGACCAGAGATTATGATGATGATTCCAACACAATCAGCTGAGCATGATGAATATGACGCCACGAATCACCACAACCAAGATGATGCTCAAGTGGAAGAGGTGAAGAGAATGAGAGGAGTCAAAACACAGCACCAGCACTTTACCTTTGCTCTGGCGGCGTCCATCTTAGATTTGTAGCAGAACTCAATGAGGGCGACCACCATGGAGAGCACGAGGCCCCCCGTCAGGATGTAGAAGATCCCCGCCACGTTACTGAGAGTGAGGGCGTTCGTCTGGGTATCCTGTAGGAGGAGGAGGAGGAGGAGGAGAAGATTGGTTTAGGAGGTTAAGGAAATATATGGCTGGCTGGCTGTTTCCTCCCGACACACACACACGCTGAAGAGTACAGGTAGTTATAAATAGTCCATGGTGCTATTTCCTCCCTCCCTTCTTCCTTCCTTCCCTTCACAGCCAGGCTACCTCTCCCACCCCCCCCTTCCTTCACAGCCGGGCTACCTCCTTTCCTTCACACACACACACACACACACACACACACACACACACACACACACACACACACACACTTCTTGAGTTCTCTATAATTAATCACAGGTAACTGGTTTAAAGGTACTTGTAATCACTTCTTAATGGCGCTGTGACCGAGGCTTTAAAGGTGAAAGCTTTTCCAGTGATACAATCAAGCTGAGGAGGTATAAAAGAGCACAAGAAATGGAAAACTACGATAATAAGCTTCGGACATTAAGGTTGAACTTCAGCTTCCTACATCAAGACTGACCATCAACTTTCTACATCAAGACTGACCATCAACTTTACGCTGGAGTGTTAGAGACTCAGATGAGAAGTATTACGGAGAGAGAACGAACAGTGTGTATAGTGGACCTGCTGATAACTCACTCTCTCTCTCTCTCTCTCTCTCTGTCTCTCTCTCTCTCTCTCTACATACACACAAACACGACCTCCTAAACGACAAAGCTCTCTCGTCATTATTCCAGGAACACACACAAACAAACAAAAAAACAAGCAAATACAATAAAAGTACTGAAACACCTGACTCTACCTGGCCGCTACACCTGACATAGTAAATCAGTAGAAGGTAAATAATAATAAGAATCTTTTGCGTCTGTTTATTTCTCAAGAGATAATTAGTATTAAATTAAATCTCATGTGAATAATTGTAAAGTTGCACTCGAGAATTAATTATAGTTAAATCAGATTAAACAAGTCGTATCTTATTGATGTATTAGAGTTAAGATTAAACTAACGCAAATAAATCACATTGCAATGGTACAAAAGATTGTATCTATAGTATTGGAAAGGTGAAAAAATTAATTCGCTCAAATGGTCTGAAGTTTTAGAATAATTCACAAAAGGATATATCCACTTACTGTATGAGAGAGAGAGAGAGAGAGAGAGAGAGAGAGAGAGAGTACAGTAGAAATACAGATAATTCAAAACTAAATCAGAGATAAAAAATAAACAGCTGTATCTACCTATTGTATCGTAAAGAAAATGCAGTACAGATAAAACTACTTCAATGTGCTTCTGGTCAATGCCCTCGTCAATGCCCTGGTCAAGGCTTTGTATATGTTAGGATAATAATAATAATAATAATAATAATAATAATAATAATAATAATAATAATAATAATAATAATAATAATAATAATAATAATAACAATAATAATAATAATAATAATAATAATAACTATACACCAGTATCATAAATCAACGCACAGGCGACATACCAAGAATATGCCATCAAATATATCCCCGACTTGATTATACCTCTCGTGCTAAAATACCATGTAGGGTATAAACAAACTTAAGTATATACTATATCATATATCAATGGGTAATATGTCAATCAATATACCATCATATAGTCACACCATCTTCCTTTCTCGATTGATACATACATACATACATACATACATACATACATACATACATACATACATACATACATACATACATACATACATACACACCATTGACTCAATTATACCGAGTGTGACAGATCTCCTTCCTTTGGCATGAACAAGCGGTATATATCCACGAGACTTGGACATTTTTTCCTTCTTCGACATTCCTACGCCAGCGAGCATGTCATTAGCATACCAGGTGACGGTGACGAACAGGTATCCGGTATAGAAGGCAGCGTATCTGGTATTTTCTCGCCTCCATTCACGTAGTTAAGTGTGGCTCGTTTGCATGGCTCATCGTTGGTGTATGTATGGGGGTTAACAGTTGGGTTAGGTTAGGTTATGTTTGGTTAGGTGTAAGGAAGGGTGAGATAAGGGTAGGGTAGGGTAGGGTAGGGTAGGGTAGGGTAGGGTAGGGAACGTGAACATTACAAGTCCACAGGAGATATTCCGGTGTGGAGAGGGTGGGGGCATGGAGGGGTGGGAGGTGGAGGCATGGAGAGGGGGTAGTGGGGAGGGTGGGGAGGGTGGGGGGCATGGAGGGGGGTGGGAGTGTGGAGGCATGGGGGGGTGGGAGGTGGAGGGTGGGAGAGGGTGGGGCATGGGAGGGGTGGGAGGTGGAGGGTGGAGAGGGTGGTGGGGGCATGGAGGGGGTGGGGGAGGGTGTGGAGAGGTGGGGCATGGAGGGGGTGGGGGGGGTGGAGGAGTGGGGGGAATGGAGGGGGGGAGGGAGGGGGGTGAGGGTGGGGGTGAGGGTGTGGAAGGAGATGGGATGCGGACGGGGTGAGTGTGTGGAAGGGGTGAGAGTGTGGAGGGTGTGGAGGGGGTGTGGAGGTGTGGAAAGGGGTGAGGGGGGGGTACAACCAGGTCAGTCAGCTACACCAGAGGTTCACAATATAAAAAAAAAATCCAAAGTCAGTTACTATGATTTACGAACAGTGCTTCTGGGAGCTATTCTTAATTCGAGCCATTTATTATAATTATCTATGATGAGTTTTAAATTATAAATAATGATTGGCGTTGTTAACTTATATATGACCATTTAAATTTGCTCATATAAACGACAAATTGGACCGTGAATTTATTTATCCAAATTGGACCTTGAAATCATAAGTTGTTTACGTATTTAGAGACATAAATTTGACGCCCCTCCCCCTCCCCTTTCCCTTCCCTTCCCCCTTTCCCCTTCTCCCTTCCCCTCTTCTCCTCCCCCTCCCCTCCCCCCACAAAAACTTCAATCTCACACAAAACATTTTCCCCCCATCTAAAAATTTTTAATTAATTTCGAAAAAAAAAAAACTTGAGTGTCTGGAAAAACTACATCTTGGGGGGTTGGAAATAACTAACTTACATATGACTTAAAAGCACTAGGAGTCACGTAAGAGAAATACCTGTTGGGACGGTAGTACAGTGGCTGCTTGGGTTCAGTATCTGATTGAGTCGGATGTAACTACCGAAAGTTTTATCCAGGTAGAATACTTAAATAGATAATTAGTTACAGTAGATAAGATTGAAATAGATACTTACATTAGACTAGATATAAATAGAGAGAGAGAGAGAGAGAGTCAATACGAGTGTGCCAAATGATCAACCAGGGACACTTCTTTACGAGAGATGTGACATTAAGTGACCCTAAAGAACGTATAAATACTTCACTCCAACATGCGCTTTACCTATTTTATGACCAGACTTAAAATTACGAGCCTAATAGTTGCTTAGTTTATAAACACCATGACATACACTGAAATATGTCTGAGTGTATGATATAGCTTACAAACAAGACATTCACTGAAATATGTCTGAGTGTATGATATAGCTTACAAACAAGACATACACTGAAATATGTCTGAGTGTATGATATAGCTTACAAACAAGACATTCACTGAAATATGTCTGAGTGTATGATATAGCTTACAAACAAGACATTCACTGAAATATGTCTGAGTGTATGATATGCTTAAGAAATAGCTAAACATACACTGAAATATGTCTGAGTGTGTACAATATATTTCACAAACAGCTTGACAGAAACCCAAGTATAAGAACTAAGTGAATAAGACCCATCGTGTGTAAATGAAGAACCGAGTCATGAGTGAAGGAGTGAATGGACATACATACCTTATTCAATAATACCGTGAGTGAATAATGAGTGAATAACAGCTCCATCGTGAGTAAATTAATAGTTTTATCATGAGTGAATTAGTGAGTTAGAGTTCATGAAGAGATAAATCAACCCGCTCCACCTTGAGTGAATGAGTGATTAAGTCTTTCCACCATGAATAAATGAATAAATAATGACCTCCAAGATAAATGTAAAAAAAAAAGAATAACCCAAACTTTCTTAACATACAATAAATGTCTTAGAATAACTGATAAACATAAGTGAAAAATAAATGAAACGTTCCTCCGTTTTCTCTCTATTTCCCGTAATTTACTAAAGGAAGAAAGTGGGAAGTTCTTAATTTGATGTAGATGACGTCTGAGAAAGCATCCTTGGAGGGGAGACTCAAGATGATCGTCTCCAGTTCACTTTCAGAAGTTTTTTAATGTCTTGACTTCGTGCCTACTGTGACGATAGAATTCAGGGAAATGGCCGAACAACTTAGGAAGGAAAGGGAGACTAAAGCGTTTGAGGAGAATTCTTAATGAATTTTGATGGATCAACTTAAGGTTAGGTTAGGTTAGGTTAGGTTAGGTCAGGTCAGGTTAGGTTAGGTTAGGTTAGGTTAGGTTAGGTTAGGTTAGGTTAGGTTAGGTTAGGTCAGGTCAGGTCAGGTTAGGTTAGGTCAGGTCAGGTTAGGTTAGGTTAGGTTAGGTTAGGTTAGGTCAGGTCACGTCAGGTTAGGTTAGGTTAGGTTAGGTTAGCCTTTGGATGGTTATTATAAGGTGAAATAAGCGACGCGGAAGGACTAATCTTCACGTGATGCAATTTGACTTTACGATGAAAACACTATGGAAAGGTCTATGGATTTACGAACTAAAGATCAAATAAATTGATCTTTTCTGCCTCAACTTGTTTGTGATACGTGACAGCACCACGCAGCTATCCTCACCCCAGCACCTCTTAGTTATCCCTCACACCCTAACACTACTTAGCTATCCATCCACCCATCCATGTGTGTGTGTGTGTGTGTGTGTGTGTGTGTGTGTGTGTGTGTGTGTGTGTGTGTCCCATGAGCCTCTAGGAATACGGTCAATGGTCTCTTGGTCTTCTCTAAGTCAGTCTTAGAGAGAGAGAGAGAGAGAGAGAGAGAGAGAGAGAGAGAGAGAGAGAGAGAGAGAGAGAGAGAGAGAGAGAATGGGACTTTTGGTGGTCATTCATCACTTTATTTCCAGCTGTCACACAACTCTCCTCCTCTTCCAACACCACCACAACTACCTTCACCATCACTACCACCACTACTACCACCATCTCTACCACCACTATCACCTCCACCACCACCATCACAAGAAGCTCTGCCACCCCCTCCCATTCCTGCTTAACTCTCCTCACCTCTCATGAGACATCCACGACCAGATCCTCCTCCTATCCAGCCATTACCGGCCACACCCCTGACCTTCCCTCACTCCCACGACCAGCCACACCCTCATCTCCAACCCTCCCACGACCTGATACGACCACTCGCCTTCTCTCCCGCGACCAGCATGTATTACTCACCATTTCACGCAATACTCTTCCATCCAACAAAGCTTCATTTTACTCTTCCACCATTCCATTCTTCCCCTTCCATTTCAAAAATCAATTTCTCCCATTCTACAAATAATAGCTTTCCCTCCCTCCCTCCCCAGTCATCATCAGCACACCTCTCTTTCTGTCTCTGTCTCTCTCGTGCTTTTTATCTTTCTCCTTCTCTCTCTTATCTATAGGCCTACCCTTCTAATCTATATCTCTCTCTTCACTCTCTTATCTCTCATCTTTAATCCACTTTACTCTCTCTCTCCAACAATGATGACAAACCACTATCAGCTGTGCTCACAATCAAAAACAATATTGGCCAATCAGGAGTTAAATGGTCCCTTCAATTTGCGAAGTTTGTTGGCTTTTCCCACTGGGTGTGGGGTGGTGGGTGGGTGTGTGGGTGTGGGGTGGGGTGGGTAATGGGTGAGTGGTGTAAATGGGTGGTGGGTGTAAGTGGGTGGTAGGTGTGGGGGGTGGTGGGTGGTGGGTGTAGGTGAGTGGGGTAGGTGAGTGTGGGTGGTGGGTGTGGGTGGTGGGTGTGGTAGCTTTTATATCAGTTTCACCTGTATCTACTACCTCACTTCTCTCCTTCACTCCTCCACCACCAACACCCTTCCTCCATTTCCCTTAATCACTCATTCTTATTCACCCTTACTCACCCTTCCCCCATCACTCCTCCCTCACCCCTCCCTCGTTCATGACAAAAACAGGACAGTATTTTTCTGCTACGTCTGTGAGAAGGAAAAACGCACCTGTTCTGTACTAATTAGCGTCAGGTGAGTTATCTTAAATTTCTCACCTGAGGGCGGGGTCCCCTGCCTCACCTGCCCTGTTATTCTCACGCATACACCACCTCACAAGGATTAGGATATCTTCAGTACACTAACACACACACCACGACACAAAAACTAAGATAAATGAAATAGTAAAAATAATAAGTAAATCAAAGGATGAAGTTTACTGGGGTGTTATGACCTAATTCAGGGTCAGATGATCAATAGAACTATGACCTTCTTCAGGGTCAAGTCTCATTTAGGGTCAGATCTCCTTCAGGGTCACGTCGCCTTCAGGGCCAGACATCTTATAGGGCCAGATATCCTACAGGGCCAGGTCTCATTCAGGGCCAGGGCTCCTTCAGGGCTAAAGGTCACCGGAAGTATTAGGGGCTCCTGCACGATGAAGACAATTATACTTGATTATCCTGAAGGGGTGAGGGAGTCGCTGGTCGATACTTACCTGCACCCAGTAAATACCTCGGAAGAAATAGCCTGCGAAAAATAAATCCTACCAAACGAATCCCACACGAAAAAAAAATCCCCAGCGAGTAAAATCCCAGAAAATTTATTCTGACGACACAAAATCCCACTTAATTGATTCCCACGACACAAAATCCCACCAAATTTATCCCCAAGACACAAAATCCCACCAAATTAATTCCCACGACACAAAATTCCAACTAATTTATTCCCACGACACAAAATCGCACCAAAAATATGTCCAACTAGTAAATTTATCACTGCACAAATGCCTCTTAGTGAAAGAAAATAAATAAATCCTGATTTTATAAAGGAAAAATCCTACAAGTGTTTTTCGCAAAGTTGTCGTACCGTGTTAGGTTAGGTTAGGTTAGGTTAGTTAACATCCTACACTCGGAGAAGTACGAGTAAACGCCGCTTTTACACGTATCAAACATGAACGCAACGAGTCAAAGTGCTCGGACGAACTCGGTAATCCCTTGACACTTCTCCAATCTGGAAACTAACCTAACCTAACCTAACCTAACCTAACCTAAACTTACCTAATCTAACCTAAGCTAATCTTCCACTAACCTAATGCAACCTAAATAATCCTATGCTTACTTAATTTTAACCTAACGTAAATTAAGTTAACCTAACCTAACCTAACCTAACCTAACCTAACCTAACCTAACCTAACCTAACCCATAACCTAAAGTTTAAATCCGGTTCGTCTATTTTTATTGTTTTTACTCTTACCATGATAATTCGGGTCAGGTCAGTATTCGTAAATTACATTCGACCTCTCTTTCAACAGTACGAATGTTAATCTCTGACTCTTGCTACTCTGACCACTGAGAGAGAGAGAGAGAGAGAGAGAGAGAGAGAGAGAGAGAGAGAGAGAGAGAGAGAGAGAGAGAGAGAGAGAGAGAAAGAGAGAGAGAGAAAGAGAGAGAGAGAGAGAGAGAGGCAATTGCGATGTTTATTTTCATATCCGGGTTACATTACAGAGTGTGATCACTGAAGTGTAAACTGGATGTGTAGTTGGGTCTCTAGTGTGACAAATGACCACCTCCCCCCCTCCTATCCCCCCCCCTCCCTCCTCCTATCCCCCCAACCATAACTGAGAGGAAAGGTGAAAGGGAGGAAGGGGTGGAAAGTAAAGAAGGGGGAAGGGAAGGTGAAAGGGAGGAAGGGGTGGAAGGAAGAGAAGGAATGGGAGATATGGGACGGAAGTGAGATGGAGAGGGAAGATAAGAAAAGGGAGGAAGAAGAGGAAGGGGGATCGGGAGGTAGGGGAAAAAAGAAAGAGAGGGTGAAAGGGGAAGGAAGGGAGAAGGAAAGGAGATAGGAGGAGAAAAGAGGAAGACGAAGGAGGAGAAAACAAACACACACACACACACACACACACACACACACACACACACACACACACACACACAGGCGATATGAAATGGTTACAGTGATTAGCCATTCCCTAGACGGCCCTTTAACCATTATGTGTCATGAGGTGTGTCACTGTATGGTGTTCATGACACTCAGGTGATGTGTCATGAGGAGTGTCACTGTATGGTGTTCATGACACTCTCAGGTGATGTGTCATGAGGAGTGTCACTGTATGGCGTTCATGACACTCAGGTGATGTGTTACCATGACGACACACAAATATAAATATTTCACTTATGGTTCACCTGTGTGTGTGTGTGTGAAACTATGGGCAAGTTTCTTGACGCCATTTGCCTCTGTCTACCCAGCAGTAATTGGGGACCTGGATGTTAATCGATTTGCGGATCGTGTTCCGGGGTAATGGTTAGTTAGCCAGTGCAGTTGGCGAGTTGTCCGGTCTTCTCGGCCTATTCCTTGACACTGGGTCAGGCAGCTCGTTAACTTTGGGTGTGGTTGTTGTGTTGGCGACAGCTTCTACACCTTAAACAAATTCACGCCAAAGTGGCCCTTGGGCCGGCCATCCTCGGTACACGAGGGGCAACCATTATATTAAGTATACTTGTGTATATTCGTATGTATATAATCAGATGTATTTAAAGCCATTTGTATAATTTTAATTCCTATAACTGGTCACCGTAAAATAATATAATTCGTCGTACAGTCAGTAATTTAATGGCAATATACAGAAATTATATATGACAATTAACTGGGCCAAATACCGAGAAAAAATTACTTAGTAAAAACCACATCACCACGTGTGTATGATGTATGAACACACTCCTGGTCGTGTATGATGTATGAACACACTCCTGGTCATGTATGATGTATGAACACACTCCAGGTCATGTATGATGTATGAACACACTCCTGGTCATGTATGATGTATGAGCACACTCCTGGTCATGTATGATGTATGAACACACTCCTGGTCATGTATGATGTATGAACACACTCCAGGTCATGTATGATGTATGAACACATCTGTACATAATCATACACATGCAAGTGAGTTACGACCTAACCTGCCAGTCCAGCTGAACCACTAACCTAACCCTAACCTAACCATACCATACCATAGCCTGCAGCACGTCTCCAAACTCATCACACCTCCCTAACACTCACCACACACATCCTTAACACCCCTTACACACTCACCACACACCCCGCTACACTCACCACACACCCCGCTACACTCACCACACACCCCCAACACCCCGCTACACCCCGCTACACTCACCTGGGTATCCTTGTCGCACTCTGAACGCTCGTACCACCACTTGTTCTTGAGTCTGGCCAAGTCACCGTTCTCTTTCAGGCTTAAGATGGCCAGGTTGAGACGCTCTCTGAGGAAGACGGGGAGGAAAGACGATTAATGAGAGGGAGGTGAGAGGGAGGGAGAGAGGTAAGGGGGGAGAGAGGGAGGTAAGAGGGAGGGAGAGAGATAAGGAGGAGGGAAGGAGAGAGGTAAGGGGAGGAAGAGAGGGAGGTAAGGGGTGAGAGAGTGGGGGGAGGAGGAGAGGAAAATGAGGGGGAGAGGGATGTAGAGGGAAGGAGAGGTAAGGGGGGGAGAGGAGTAGATGGGATGGAGTGAAGTAGGGAAGGGAAGTAGAACAGACAAAAGGCGATAGATAATAGTTGACGGCTTGTTAAGAGTATATGAAGAATTAGAATATATCAGGGAAGCACGAAGACGGAGGAAGAGGGAAGGAAGGAAGGAAGGAAGGAAGGAAGGAAGGAAGGAAGGAAGGAAGGAAGGGAAGGAAGGAAGGAAGGAAGGAAGGAAGGAAGGAAGGAAGGAAGGGAAAGAGGAAGAAGGGAAGGGAAGGAAGGGAAGGAAGGAAGGAAGGGGAAGGAAGGAAGGGAAGGGAAGGAAGGAAGGAAGGAAGGAAGGGAAGGAAGGAAGGAAGGAAGGAAGGAAGGGAAGGAGGAAGGAGAAGGAAGGAAGGAAGAAGGAAGGAAGGAAGGAAGGAAGGAGGGAAGGAAGGAAGGAAGGAAGGAAGGAAGGAAGGAAAGGAAGGAAGGAAGGAGAGAACCAGTAATATACACAATAATAATTTGTTTCTCCTTCACCAAGAATCACTTGACTACTTACATATATTAGTTTACTTATTCCTATATGATGATAATATATATTCTCTATTATATACTGATATACACGAAGAGAGAGAGAGAGAGAGAGAGAGAGAGAGAGAGAGAGGACACTTTCCTCGTATTTACACGTGACAGACTCAAATATTTCCTCACATTGAAATTTTTGAGGAAAATTTGCAATTCAAGCGTTCTGACGTTTGTGTAAAAATGTGCGTGTTTGTGCGTGTGATTGTGTGTATGTGTCCAAATGTTTGATGTTAAATATCTCCGGCATTATGTGGAGAAAAAAGTGTCTGTTAAGTAGCCATAACCTTCACACTTTATACTTACAACACTACTTAACACTACCGTCTCACCCGGCCAGTGACTGAGGGCGTAGCATTCCACAAAAGTCTCCCCCCTTAATTTTAGACGCCATTAATCTTTCACAAACAGCTAAGTCCTTCTGTTACTTTAAAATTGCTCAAGGTTTGTTATCTGTCGACGTCTAGTGATAAAAATTTAATTGGCGAACGTATTATCTGCCTCGCCGTGACCTGACCTGACCCTGAGTAAGGTGGGTCATGTTCCTTGGCCCTCATCTATCCAAGGTCACATTCAGGGACTCTTACTTAAATTGGCTGATGTCATTACATACATACATACATACATACATACATACATACATACATACATACATGGAAGGCCCATGTAAATAACACAGTCAAGGCAGCCTCGTACCGTCTCTACATGCTACGAAGACTTAGGTCACTTGGGACACCCACGCCAGAGCTGAGGACCATCTACAACGCCTTTATTCTCCCCAAACTAACGTATGCGTCACCAGCCTGGTCGTCTTCTCTCAACTCCACCCAACAACGTCAGCTAGAGAAGGTACAGAAAAGGGCCTGCAGAATCATGCTCGGCGCAGAATACTCCGGCTACACCAACGCTCTCTCCACCCTGGAAATGCCATCCCTCAGTGACCTCCACCACCAAGCACTGGAAAGGTTTGGCCGTGGACTACTGCACCACCCTCGCCATCGCCACCTCCTGCCACCTGCAGCCCCCCACCCAACTCGCGCAGTCCGCCACTACAACAAAATACAGCCCATAAGAGCCCGCACCGATAGATATAAGAACAGCACCATCCCATCTATTGTTAAAATAATAAACAACTCCTGATTTATGTACTGTACAGCCCTGTAAATGTATTCAATGCATATTATATCATTATGTCTAAATCAAATGTAAGTCTGTATATTTTCAGCCACCGGCTGCAACTCTATTAATAAACCGTTTATTATTATTATTATTATTATTATTATTATTATTATTATTACTATTATTATTATTATTATTATTACATACATACATTACTTTCCCTCCTTACCTGTCATCTACTTTCTCTACCTTCACCTTTCCCTACTACCCTCCTCCTACTATCTCTCTCTCTCTTTCTCTCCTTCCCATCACCTACTTTCTCTTCCCTCTCCTTTCCTTACTTCCCTCCTCCTTCTTTCTCTCTCACGTGTGCTTCCTCCGACCATCATCAAGTTTACTTCTTAACGCAGACTAAAGGCGTCTCTCAATTATTTCTCAAGTTAAACCAGAGAGGAGATAGAGAGGAGATATCTTTACCTTGTATCTCTCATGTTTCTCATCTAGCCTTCGTGTGTCTCTGTCTCTCATTGTGCCTTCAAGCGTTGAGACAGGGAGTGAGTCATAGTGAGAGACAATTTATTATTATTATTAACGTAGAAAATCCAGCAAAACAAAAATCCCTTCGAACCAAATCATCATCATCATCATCATCATCATCATCATCATCATCATCATCATCATCATCACCATCGTCTGCTTCACCACCACCATCATCATCACCATCGTCTGCTTCACCATCATCACCATCATCATCACCATTATCATCATCATTATTCGTATAAGAACAAATTATTCAGTGATTATTATTAACTCCCGCAGGAATGATATATGTATCGTCTCCACCTGTTTGTTTGTTTGTGTTTGTTTGTGTACGCGTGTCATCGTGTTCTACAGGATGGTGAACAATTAGAGTTACTCTGTTCACCAAGTTCACGTATAAATATTAAAGTCAATGGCTCCTAACCTAACCTAACCTAACCTTTTTCGACCTGTCAGACATAATCTTCAAACCTTGAATGGGGGAAAATCTGAAGGCAATATTTTCAAGAGATTTGGAGGTTCGAGAATTGGCCTTGAGTTACAGCTTGACCTAACTCAAAAAAATGTCGAAATGTTGGTGAAAATATCATTAACTCTCTGTGATTGGGGGAGAGAGAGAGAGAGAGAGAGAGAGAGAGAGAGAGAGAGAGAGAGAGGAGAGAGAGAGAGAGAGGGGTTAAATTAGTAAAGTTTTAGACACAGGTTGAATGTTTCCGTGTTACTCAGGACTCGAGATGAAGTTAAAAATTACCACTTTCCTACAGGTTCGACATGACCTTGAACCTGACCTCGACTTTGAACAGTTTATATCAGAATCAGATGACTGACCCTGATAAATGAAGGTCAGGTTAGGTCAGGTCAGGTTAGGTTAGGATTCTCCCTAAAGACATTAGATGGGATATGCCTTACTAACTAGAAACCATATGAGTCAAAATATACCGTAACACGTAATGAAATAAAAGACGATATTTTTTCGGTGTTTCTTTGAATTTCTCTGATATATTACATACAGTACATACATACATACATACATACATACATACATACATACATACATACATACATACATACATACATACATACATACATACATACATACATACATACATACATCACGTGCGGACTTTTCTATTTAGTTATGACAAAGTTACACGCGTCAGTATTCAAGGACAGACAGACTACATAATATGTATTTAATTGTTTGTTTCTACAGACCCTAGAACCACACTACTACATTATAACATTATAGTAAATCATTAAACTGTAACACACGATGCTTCATGAATCTGGTTACAACAGATGTTCTCTTTAGTGCTATTAATACTTGACTGACTGGACCATTGGTAACTCTTGTCATGTCATCCTAAGACTATACCGTTAATATCACAAGGTCAACAAACAGCTTCTATAAATATTCCTCACAATAAGGCCGTAACTCTGAGCCTCAGTTAATGATCGTCCTCACTTCACTCGGCACTGTGACCTATCTCTGTGGTCCAGCTGGTCACTCCTGCAGCACAAACTTCATAATCTGTTTATAGGTGATGGTTAGTGTGGCACTGGAGGGGTGATAGTGTTGCATTGAAGGGGTGATAGTGTGGCACTGGAGGGGTGATAGTGTTGCATTGAAGGGGTGATAGTGTGGCACTGGAGGGGTGATAGTGTGGCACTGGAGGGGTGATAGTGTGGCACTGGAGGGGTGATAGTGTGGCACTGGAAGGTTGTAAGTGTGGCACCGGAAGGTTGTAAGTATGGCACTGGAAGGTTGTTAGTGTGGCACTGGAAGGTTGTTAGTGTGGTACCGGAAGGTTGTGATATGGCACTGGAAGGTTGTAAGTGTGGCACCGGAAGGTTGTAAGTGTGATGCTTATATGTACTGGAGGTTGTTGAGTGTGGTACTGGAAGGTTGTTAGTGTGGCACCGGAGGTTGTAAGTATGGCACTGGAGGTTGTTGGTGGCACTGGAAGGTTGTAAAGTGTGGCTGGAAGGTTGTTGGTGTGAACTGCCGGAAGGTTGGTGTGAAATGAGAAGGTTGTTAGTGTGGTACCGGAAGGTTGTTAGTGTATGGTAAAGGAAGGTTGTTATTATGGCATGGAAGATTGAAAGTGTGACAATGTAAAGACTTGGTAGAGCACTAAGAGGCTGGTAGTATGGCACTCGGGCAGTTAATGTGTCCACGGGGAGGCTTTTAGCTTTGCTCTAGTGGGCTGTTAGCATGGCACTATAAGGAGGGCTTTGAAGTGTGGCACTGAGGGCCACGTTCCAAACTGGCCCATAATTCCTGTTTCAATTTATTAACTGTTGACAGGGGTACTTAATAGTGCATGCCCTGTTGTAAATGGATGATGAAGGAGGGGGTGTGCTGTATTTTCACGTAAAGTACTGAGTGAAAAAAAATGAACCCAAATCTGGCAACACCGGCCATGACATGATCTGGTCTTAGACGAGTAAAAATAGAGAGATATTTAATGGTTGAACCTCTTGAGAACGATGACTTAACTACTCAATTAAGATGACTTACACTTCTGAATACGATGATTTTACCCCTTGAGTACGACAACTAAACTGA